AAATAGCTCTGTAAAATCACCTTTGCTGTGTCTTCTCTTCAGCCTTCTCCAACCTAATGACTTCACATAGGAGAGCGAATTCAAGGTTTATCAGGGTTTTTGGAGCCGTGACTAAATGCATGTAGAAAAAAAATGTGTGCAGACATAAATTTATTTCCTTTACCTCATTGTTCCTCTTGTCCAAGGGATAGAAGTAACTTAAGTCTAATCCATCCTTAACTGACTTGAACTGTGATATCCTGATTTTAATATGTAGTATAATAGTGAGTTTGGAGGATGGCTTAGCACGACATGAGTAGTCCTGTAAAGAGAGAACACCTTACTTAAAGTTTGCGGTCAGAATTGGAGTTTCAAACAACTTTTTCTGACCCTGTGATCTTCAAAATAAAACACTACAAAAAAGATAGATTCTTTTGATTTGCAGCCTTGTGTTTATTTCCCTGCTGCTCTTGTTTTTTGCTGAATCTTCCTTTGTATAAGACAGTGATAGATACATTTCTTGAAGTAAGCTTGGTTCTGCATGGTCTGCAGGTGCCAGGTTTTTCTGTTCAAGGGTAGAGGGGAAGTTGGACTGAAATGTCTGATCCTTGCAGTCTGGTAACTAAGTGAACACAGCAGTGTACTTGTTGATAACAAAAAGTAAATACAGCTGATGTTACACCCTCCTTTATGGGACTTATACATTGAATTTAGGCACATTAGTTTCTTGTATAAAACTTACTGCTCTTGAGAGACAAACTAAAATGATAGAATGTTGTTGTAATACAACTACGAAATCTGTGTAGACTGTCTTTTTCTTTGTGGTGAGTTTTAAAAATATAGGAGAGGGAAAGCAAAGAGAACAGGCACTGAGCATTGATATTAAAATAAATGCTTGCCTTAGCAAATATTACATTATAATAAAACTGCATGCCAGGAACATTTTAGCCATATCAAGTATTTTACCCCTTATTATTTTGTCTTTATTGAGAAATCTTAATGTCTTGAACATAAAATCATTTTGTCACATACCATTAAGAACTGGATTTCTCAATGGGTGCCTTATAATTCCTAGACAGAAAGACAGGGGAATGAGTATCCTTTCTTTATGTACGGATCCTGTGTTTTGTTGGTACAGCTGAGCTATTATTTCCATACAAAATGGGCTCATTTTGGGTGCTGTAAATTCTTCTTTAGGGATACCTTGCAATAAAGGCATCTACTAAGTTCCAGCTGTTCCAATTAGCCATACAGCTGTCGAGTGTCTATCTCCATCTTTGGAAACGGGCTTTTTTGGAAATGTTTGGGTTTTTTCTCAGTTATCCCTGTGTGCTTTTTTGGATGTTTTTAGCTGCCATGTGATGAGAAGTCTTTTTGTTACTGCTTTGTTACTCTTTCTATTCCACCTCATGGCACTAACGTCCTCTGCAGAGCCGCTGTGTGGATTGTGTGTGTGTATTTACAATAGCAATGGCTTTTGAAGTCTAATGCATCACTTTTGGATATTGGGCTTTAAACAGACATTATAATAAAATCAGTCCAAAGACCACGCTTTCTTAAGCCTGTCTTAAGAAGGAAGTGCTGTCACTGTCTTATCTTACATAGCTCTAATGGCAATGGCTGAAAAGTGAAGGTGGGTAAACTTGCTGAGACATCTTGAGAAAGAAATGTATTGACACTGTTTTCAGTGACATAAGACCTCAAGAAATGATCAGAAAAGACCAGCAAGTAGCTGTACCCTCTTATCTGTGATAAAAGATTGTCAGAACATTTGTCTCTTAACCAAGCGTTCCGAGTGGTTTTATTTAGCTTTCTCCCACATAGGCCAGTTAACCCAGCAATTGTCAATTGGGCATATCAACTATCACTTTAGATTCTTTTCATCTCACAAGAGGCAAAACACTACAGGTGTCCAAATATGAGCATCAGAAGATAAGCACATGCATATCTCAGCTTTGAGGAATCCTGGAACAATTTTGCTCAGTATTACGGGCATCTGCTATTTAGGAGGGTTTTTTCCTTCATATCTTGCAGCTGAATTTCTTCAGTGCTAGATCAATTAACAGTTTCAAGACCAAATACCATCAATTTAGGGGGAAAGTGGGAGGAACGCTATGTGTTTCCATAGGACTTCTGGTTGTCTGGCAATGGAGTTGTTCAGGAAGCTGAGAGCAAGCCTGGGGAACAAAGCTTGGTTGGTAGCTGTTAAAAACAGCAGATTCAGTAGCAGGTGCTTGTGTTTTCAAGCCACTGTATGGTATCAGATGCAACTTCAGACCCTTTCTGGTTTAGCGTGTTCATAGGAACTTATTTGTGTCAAATAATGGTTTGCTAGTTCCTCAGTAGGCTACCGTGAACAGGACAAAGTTGAGGGGGACAGTTTGATAGCTTCTAGTACATGAAGTAGCTCTTCATGTAATTGCTGTGTCTCTGCATGTAATTATCAGATTTCAACATGGCATTATCTTTCATAGGACTTTATTAATATCACAGTTGTTAAACCCAGGGTGAATTTAGTATAGTGTATGTGAGCTTCAGTCCTGGAGTTAATTCATGACTATCAATTTCCACTAATAAGTTACTGTCCAAACTGTACCACCAAGAATTAATAGCTTGGGAGTTGGAAGAGAAGACTCTTGTCTCCTTTCTTCTCCTGTTTCAGTCTCACTACTGGTTTGCTTTTCAGTGTCTTCTCCATGAACTTGTGGTTCACAGAACAACATTCTGGCAGTATTGAATAAAACACAAAACTCAGTATCTGGCCTGATAAAGTATCCGCTGTTTCTTCTGGTTTTGAGTGCCTTCTTGTCATGAAGGTATGAAGTATTTGCAAACATCTGTTCGAAGATAGCCTCATTACCCATTAAAGGCTTATTTTATAAAGAAATCCTTCTTAAGCATGTTTGAAAATATTATTGTTATGCCTTTTGTCTCAAAAGCAAAGAAACTGTTACTGTTTTGTGTAGTGTTGGCTGCAGTGTGGCTCTTGGGTAACTTGATACAGCTTCTGAGCTAGACTTACATCATATGGCCAGCAGTTGTGTTGCTTATGCTGGTGTGTGAATTCCTGGGTAGCCTGAACCCACAGCTGCAAAGGGAAGCAGGATTCCAGGGGTGCCGACAAAGAAATCTTTGGGTCGCTCTGGGAATACAGCTGCGTTTCCGGCCCTGTTTTGCAATTACAATGGGATTCTTGAAGCTGTTATTTTCACAGGGTGGGGATATGATATCCCTTTTGCTGTCCAAGATGAGATGTGTGTATTATGGCTTCAAGCTGCAGAAGTACCTGACTGTGTGGCACCCGAAGTAGGGAAAGGCTGACCAAGCCTGGAACAATGACGGTAATCCAGATACTGCTTATTCAGTGCAACTGTATCAGTGACATTTCATCCTGTTTCTGAATATAAAGTAAATGCGAGATCTTCACCCAAAGAATCAGCTTGATGTCATTTTCATGTGCTTAATCTAATTCAGTGAAAATGGGTTCTTTCCTTCTTATCCCTCTTTACTGTTTTTTAGCTGTGCAAACGAGCTTGAAGGGCACACCCAAATTCGAAGTTGGGACTGAGCTGCTCTAAATAAACCTCATGAAAGGAGCTTAACCCTCTGAATGAAGAGATAAGTCACTGATTATATAGTCAACTCAGTTTGCAGTAGTTCAATTTATTAGAGGCCTTGTGTGAGAGAGTCTGATATTTAAAATGATGGTAAAGCTAGCTTATGCTGACAGCTAATTAGAAAAACCTCCTAGAGCCATAATCTGAAATTGAGGAGGTATATTAGGTGTTAAAGACCAGAGCTGCTAAAGTATTCTCTAAATCCTGAAGTACTTCAGGTGAAACAGATTAGTGTCTTGAACTCACCCTCAGAGGTATGCATGGTGCCCGCAAAGTGCTGTGAACAGCATCCATTCTCTAGCTGATAGCTGGGTGAATCTGGATGAATTTGCTCTTTAGGAGCAGTTCCTAATGCTATGTCTTCTAAATATGACGATCTTGTAAGGAAAAATGGAACATCGTTCTGATAGTCAAGCAGAATGCTTGGAGTGATCTTGATGGATAACATGAACTTAATTGAAAGCTACTTATGTGAAAGAGCAAGGATTAATAATTAAAGCTAAGGGGAAAATTATTTTTTATTATACAGCTTATGTACTGTCATTAAATTCTTGTTTAGCCTGGGAGCTCTGTTTTTCCATTGCTAGGAGTGCTGGCTTTATTAGCATTCTTCCATCAGAAATACAGATTCTTAGCTCTGAAAAACCTGGCAATGATAAGAATACACTTATTGATGGGCTTGCTTTTTCCTCTTCTCTCTTCAGGCAAAATATATCTCTCCTGATTATAGCAAAAGTTAAATCATGGTGTGTTGGGACTTTAGCTATGAAAATCTTGTTCCTGTCTTTATTATGAGAAAGGTGGATTTGAAAACCTTTGCTCGAGTTGCAGACAAACCATACAGAAGTTTTGCAGATCCTTTTGCATTTGAAGGATTCACCGTGCCGTAAGAACGACTTTTTCTAGGGTGTTGGAATCGATTTAGGTGGTGCTTGGCCTGTGAAAGTGTTTCCCCTTCTGTCACTTGAAATCCCTCAAGGGGAAGGGAAAGAACACTTAAAGCTTATGGAAGTAACTTAAATGCCTTAATGAATTTCTTTCTGGATCACTGGGTAAACCAATGTGCTTTTCCAACATGGAGAAGCTTTTTATTTTAAGACTTCATTTCCTGATTTTTTTTACCTTGAACTAACAGTAGATAAAGTTTTCCAAAAATGTTTAGGAAGCCAAGTCTTGGAAAGGAAACTGTTTCCCATACTGACTGTTCCTGCATTTCTCTCAGCTGCTCAATTGTGTCATATCAGCTGAATAATTCTTGCAGTGCCTTCCAGTCCTACCCAGGTGGTATACTATGCGGAATGAAACATGTAGGCTTTTATTCTTTGAACTGTCTTCTAGTTTCAGCTCACAATACTGGTAAAAGTACAAATCTGCCACTTAACTGGTATCTCTTATTACAGGGGGAAGATTCTCTTTAACGTGATTACTTGCAAGTAATAGTTCCTCGATCATGGCTGAGCTATCTCCTGAAGAAATTCAGCTGAGGGCCAACCAGGTCACTGATGAGGTAAATATTGTGTCTGGGATTGCAGTACTTATCTCCCAGATCACAGTACTTTTAAAAATAAAAACAGTCTAGGATAGTGATTATGCAAGTGTATAGATGAATGTTTCAAACTCTACTTGGTAAACACTGGAGCAAAGACTACTTCTGAAAGTAAGAATGAATTTGAACCACTGGGTGCTGAGCACCCAGTCCTGATTACTGAGACAATGCAGGCAAGGTACCTATACTGTCCTTAAACATGTTGGTACTTCATGACTTTTTATTTCACTAAAATTCATTTGAATATATCTTCCAATGGGATAAGCAAAGTACTAAAAAACCCAAGGGTTTTCTAGCCACTGAAAAAAAGCTCCAATATGCTGCCACTATGATTGTGTTGTAGTGCCTGTTATGTATGGACAGGCTGATGAACCTTTGTGTATTAGTTGCCTTACTGTAATGAACCGGTAAAGAAGACTTTTCACACACTGATATATACTGTTGACACTCATTATTTTAAAACTCTTTCTAGTCTTTGGAAAGCACAAGGAGGATTCTTGGCTTGGCCATTGAGGTAAGGAAAAGCTTTTGACTTCCCTGGGGATTTATTAATTTAAGTATAAGAACCAGCATGTTAACTATCACAAAGTGATCTTAGTCACTTTTTTGGCTGTCTCAAACTTTGAGACACACACTTCATTAGAAGGATGCTTTAATTCAGTAGCAGTGTTGGAATGACTTAAACCAACTGTTTTTCGTATTATGGAAAGTTAGATCCCAGAAGGACCAGTATCCTTTTTACCTGCTTTCCTCTTAAGCAAAATGTCCTCAATCTCCAAATGCTGCTGACCAGTGATAAAGTCTTCTTGCTTCTCATAACATCTTCCATTAATCTTCTAGTTCAGTTTGCCTGTGAACAATGTGTAAATGTCTTGCTTTGAAGAAGAGGGTAGAGTATTAGAGGATAGGGCTGCTTTTGGTTCCAAACAAAAGCAGTTCTACACACAACTTTTTACAATCTGTTTGTCAGCTTGAATTTTAAAGATAGTTAAGTATTGTTATGGAGTCATGGAGTCATGTACCCTTCTATGTGACTTGAAACAAATTAAATCTTTGTGTTTATCTAGATGACATTATATTAGGAATCTGATCTTCTTCACTGTTACAGCTTGCATGCCCCATTGTAAAAATGGCTGAAAGTTTACTGTTGATACTGTAACTTCAAAACATATAGACCATCCTGTTGGCAGAGAGTAAGATAAGATGGCTGATAGCTCCGGTGGACTTAAACACTAAAAAATAAACACTAAAAAATAATCCAATGAATAAAGTCTAACAAATAAAGGCCAATTATGTGAGGTTCAACCAGGCCAAGTGCTGGGTCCTGCACTTTTTTCACAACAACTCCATGCAATGCTATGAGTTTGGGGTTGAGTGGCTGGAAAGGTCATTGACAGAGAGGAATCTGGAGGTACTGGGAAGCAGCTGGCTGAATATATGAACCAGCAGTGTGCCCAGGTGGCCAAGAAGGCCAGCAGCATCCTGGCCTGTATCAGAAGCAGTGTGACCAGCAGGAGCAGGGAAGTGATCCTTCCACTGTACTTGGCACTGGTGTGGCCACACCTTAAATCCTGTGTTCAATTTTGGGTCCCACACAACCAGAAAGACATTGAGGCACTGGATCCTGTCCAGAGAACAGCAATGAAGCTGGTGAAGAGTCTGGAGCACAAGTTGTATGAGGAGCAGCTGAGGGAAGCAGGATTGTTTATCCTGGAGAAATGGAGGCTGAGGGGAGAACTTATTGCCCTCTACAACTACCTGAGGTTGTAGTGAGGTGGGGGTCAGTCTCTTCTCCCAGGTAACAAGTGATAAGACAGGAAAAAATGGGCTCAAGATGTGCCAGGGGAGGTTTAGATTAGATATTAGGAAAAATTTCTTCACTGAAGGTGTTACCAGACATTGGAATGGGCTGCCCAGGGAAATGATCAATTCACAAGCCCTGGAGGTATTAAGAGACTGATTGATGAGGTGCTTAGAGACGCGGTTTAGTAGTGGACAGGTTATGGTTGGGCTCAATGATCTTAAAGGTCTTTTCCAACCAAATGATTCTACGGTTCAGAGTGTTAGGTCACTCTGCATTGGAGCCTGTAGTCGCTGTCCAGATGGTAGCAGCCAGCTGTGGAACTGAAGATGCTGCTGTTATCAGTGAGGCACTTGAATTGGCATAGCATAATGAATACCTCTTAAACACATGTTTAAGAGCGTGTAATAAGACAACATAATTTCTCTTGGTAGGTGTCATAGTTCGGTGAGTCACAACATAGACAGCTCTGTGCTGTCAGTTTACATTGCTATAACTTGTGTACTAGATTCAAGACTTTAAGCCAGCAAAGAGCTGTACTGTGGTATATTCCTAATTGCTGATTTCTTTTGCTTGGTTCTAAAACTAGTGATGGGTTATTCTCTTCCTGGTCTCTTCTGCTGAATTCCCAAGAATGGCTTTGCAGACTTTGTTTTGCTTGCTTTTACTCTGGCTTCCAGGACTAAAGGCCTTTTCAGTGCTATTGAAAGGTGGAGGGATAAAGAATAAACTGAATGCCACTTTTCAAAAGAAGGCATGGCTAGGTTTACTTTTTTAGCTTGACATCACAATTCAATTTAAGTATTACAATAAATTTTATCTTGTTGTAATGTATAAAAAAACCTCTCAAAAACCACTAATTGAGGTAGTGTAATAGGTGAGATTATTATCAGACTAACATAGGGTCCAGTTTGAAACTTAACTTTACTACAGAAGTTACTCCAAGCACAGTGTTTTATTATGAACTTGGTTGGCTTATCAAATCTACTGTAGAGACCTGATTTTGCACTGCTGTATTGAAATGTATCTGCAAATAAATTTCTTTCTCTAGTCCCAGGATGTTGGCATCAAAACGATCAACATGTTGGATGAACAGGGAGGTGAGTTCTTCCTTCTCTAACACTAAAAATCAATTGCAGGACTATAAGAAAAAGTATTATCATTCAAGAACTGTTGCTGAAATTGAAGGTTTATTAAAGAGTCTTATGTGAAAATTAGGTTTGCTAATTGGTTATTCCCATGTGTCTGTAGTATTTAAGAGGTATTAAAGTAGTGGAGAGACCCTGTTAGTTACAGTGTAGTACAGCCTCTGCTACAGAAGCTGTTCCTTTCCACTGTAGCACGAATGTAACTGCATTTGGTCTCAAAACAGCAACAGAAGTGCTGTCCTAAGGATAGGGAAAATAATTTAATGTAGTAAATAAAAGTTATAACTTCATATCTATCTTAACAATTAAAAAAAATCCAGGTAGGTGGAAAAGAAAAAAGGCATTGGGCTTAGTATAAAGATAGAACTGGAATTTGTGAGTTCCTGCTAGAAAGAAATGTTTATCCTGCCCCCACATTCCCTCAGTTTGTTCATTCAGGTTACTTGTTTCTCTTCCAGAACAACTAAATCGCATAGAAGAAGGCATGGATCAGATAAATAAGGATATGAGAGAAGCTGAGAAGACACTGACAGAGCTCAACAAATGTTGTGGGCTCTGTGTCTGCCCTTGTAACAGGTCAGTTAAATCGGTACTTGGGTCTGAGGTTCTGGAATATTCCCAATAGCTGCTGTACTGGGAGATGGTCTCTAATAAAAGATCTAATTAAAAAATGCTGAATCTCTAGAAAAGCCAGCTGTTTTGGTTTGTAGAGGTGCACCCTTTTAAAATTGTGTGAGAGTAGCTAGAGCTTACTTGCATCTAACCATATATTGTGCCCCTTTCACTGTAAGTATAGCAGCTGTATAACAACCTGCACAATTGCACCCTAATCTTCTTAAAGCTTGTGTTTAGTAGATGTATTGATGCCAATAGAGATGAGGCCAGATTGGACTGCCAATAACTATATGGAAGTGCCTGTTTGATAGAAATTAGGCTCAAAAAAAACCCCAAAACCATTTTTCATTTTTCACAGAAGTACTTTTGTACTGACTTGAAAGCAGGAAAGCATTTGTTATGGAGAAGGGAAGTAGTGTTGGTTCTCTAGGCATTTAAAAATGTTCATGCTTTAGGAAGGAAGAGAACAGAAGAACAAGAGACACTGGTATTAAAGCCTTACTCTTGTGCCAGTGACTGCATAAATTCCTGCTTCATGGTACCTTTAAAACATCAGTGTTATGGCTAACATATCCAAGTCAGTTAAGAGTCATCTAATCTTTTGTATGGCATTGATTTGTAAACACCTTAACAGCCTAAACAATGATCAGAAATTAATATTAATGAGGAAAACAATCTGGTTTTTTAAAGGCGTGCGAGCTTTACCCTTAAGTGTCAAACTGACTTGTGTGAATTGGCTGTAATCATCGTTCTTCCAACTGAAGAAGTTATTTTAACAGTGACCACTGAAGGGAATAGTGTGTGTTTGTTCATTTTTAGCTCTTTAGCATGAGTGAAAAACACAAAATTATTCAGCTGAGAAGTAGCAGAAATTTAGGTAAAAAAATCCTTGGATTAGCTGAGTCTGCTTATCCAGTAGAGCAATACCTTGAGGATCATTTAGGATGGATATGAATGTGGCTTCTGAGGCTGAGAGGCTTAGAGCTTTAGTATCTTGAAAAGGCAGATAGTTCTGTCCTGACCTCTGGATAGGTTTGCTCACTGTTTCATATTAGTTTTACCAAGCTGATGGACTTTGAACATTTTGACACACTCAGTCTTTGTTTTCTGTAGCTGATGGTTTTATTGCACTGAAGCTAAGCAGCTTATTGAAACAAAGCAAGCTTAAAAATTGTGAGTTCTTGTGGCACTCTAAATACACAGGTAACAATAAAAATAGTGAGTTTTGTAAGAAAATGGGCAGTAATGTGCAGAAAAATCTACTGCATAAGTAGAGGGCAACAAAGAAGAAGAAACTGTGTATGCCTTTCATGTATCTACTGGTACATCAATTTTTCTGGCAGTTATTCATCAACCAGTTAACTCCAAAGCTTTTCATTTTTTTGCATAAAGCTAACTCAGAACACCTGCTGAAATAAATATTGCTTTTCCCATATCTCCTAGGCTTAGATTATTTTTAATAGCTTTGTGAAAACACAACACACCGGCAGTACTCTAATATACTGTGTACTAATAACAATTTAACTGTTTGCTGGTCTTTACTATTCTTTCTTCTCCGTTCTCTCCTAACACTGACGCTTGCTTTCTAAAAATGAAGACTAGGATAAGAAGCTGTACTCACTTAACTGGTGAAAGCGGATTTTAGGACAAGGTCAGTCTTCCTAGAGCAGATGTACATTTAACCAGCTGTTTGAAGTGATGCTTCTGTTGGATTTGTGCTTGCATGTTCATGGTGTGTGCATGCCTGTCTCCTCGTGACTGATGTGTTGCAATACCAATGTGACTAGAAAATGTTGATTACCATAGAGTGTGTTAGCTGTGGAAAGATTGAACAACAGCTTGAGCCCTTGCTCGTTTGACAGGTTGTATAAATTGCCTTACTCCTACGGAAATTAAACGTGAGAAAAAGTGAATGTATAGTCATTTGAAAAAATAGCTCTTAAAATAAAAATCAGGTGGCAAAGAAGCTTTATTCTTAACTGTGCTTAGTTGAGCAACAGTTCTGTTTGTCCACTTCAGATGTGGAAGCAGTTCTCAGGCCACTTGTTTTTGTTCAATCGATTCCTCAGTTACATCAGGCACCTAAGACTTCGCTAATTCAGAAGCCAACCACACAAAGCTCCCTTGCTGTTGTGACTTCAGTATGGATGAGATTAAAATACAATGCTCAGTGTAGTTGCAATAAACCTAAGGAGATCTTTAAGCCTGTGTATGCACGAGGAGCTAGGATTGACTAGTTCAGGTTTCTCTAGGGTTCTGCTGCGTGCAGCAGTTCCATAATTAACTGAGAAATTATTCCTTTTCTTCCTCTTGATGTATTCATACCAGGTTACTTTCCATAGCCATTTGATCTACAAAATACAGTTTCCCCTTTCAGTGACATAAATGCCAGAAGAATGAGGGGAATATTTCTTTACAGCTAACTTCACACCTCTTCAAATGTGAAACATCTGAGCTACTGAAAGGCACTATAAATATAGACATTGGGTACCTGTAATTGTGAAGATCTACTGAAAAACACTGGAGATTTCCCTTTGTAGACTTTTCAAGAAGCAGGAAAGTGGCAATGGAGCCTGGGTTGTGTAGCTTAAACCTGAAAATGCCAGCAAACGAGAGAAACATGAGAATGTTCTTATCAAAATGTTCTCTATGGTTCATGAGAACTGACCTCGATCCAGATTAGATATTTTCGTTGTATTTGCTTCCCCTCTTGCTTTCGTAGAGATGTAATTCTTCAGACTGCTTCATATCAGTGTGCTTTCTTTAATTTTTAATTCCTCTTCTGAATGTTGTGGTAGAAGTATAATGGTAAGTTGGTTTGTTGATCTAATGGAGTTAGTGTAACTGAATTGCAGAATGAAGGAGCTATTTAAACATTGTTACTGTTATTTCATAATCAAAATTATTTGAGAAACAGTAACATTAAAAAGAGACTTGGCAAAAGAAGATGTTTGACAAAAACCAGTAGAGATCACAGAATCCCAGACCGTTAGGGATTGGAAGGGACCTCCAAAGCTCATCCAGTCCAATCCCCCTGCCGGAGCAGGAACACCCAGATGAGGTTACACAGGAAGGCGTCCAGGCGGGTTTTGAATGTCTGCAGAGAAGGAGACTCCACAACCTCTCTGGGCAGCCTGGGCCAGTGCTCTGTCACTCTCACTGAGAAGAAGTTTCTTCTCAAATTGAAGTGGATGAATGGTTTTCTCGCTTATTGTAGCTACTTATATATGATGGAGGTTTCTTCAGGGAAAAAATGAGGATGGAGGAAAAGAATTGAGTCTAGACTAACTCTTGTTATAAATGCAGTGTAAACTTTTCTGTTACTGTCACAAGCTTCCCCTCTTCTAGTAAAGTGTATTACTGTCAGGAAATTGCTTTCCTTGTGTTAAAACTTAAGACCAAAATAATCATCTGTTCCTAGAGTAACTCAGTTATGTTTGTACTATCCCAATATAAGAAATTGTATTGTATAGACAAAGCCTTGTGCTTGGAAGAGATTAGATTTTGTATAGACAAGATAAATATTTCTGAAAATCCTCGATTAATACAGAACTTCAGTCAGGAAGCCATGCTTCTGATGCAGCAGTTCAGATTTCTTTCTTTTATGGAGTAGGACAAAGAATTTTGAGGCTAGCAAGTCATACAGAGCAACCTGGGGAGATGGGACGGAGAACTCGGCAGATCAGGTGATATCCATGCAACCAAGACGTATAAATCAGCAGCAGCCTCAGACTTCTGGAGGACCAAGTGGTGGATATATTACAAGGTTTGCTTCTTCGTATTTCTCAGTCTCAAATGCAGAAATCCTAAATTACCGGTTATCAGCTTCTTTCAGATGCATTTTAGGTGAAGTTAAACCCTAAGCTTTGTACTACTGCCTGGGGGAACTGTTACTGCTTGGAGAGGAGATGGCAGACACCCGCACTCTCAGTATTGTAGTGCTCATCTACCACCTTTCATAGTGGTGGTATCAGTCTGTTTCTGGATGTGAGGACTGTAGAGCTTAGTGCTCAGTTATTGAGGGGACTGTTAAAAAATATCAAGGACTTTCATTGTCATAAAGTATGTTTGAGGAAAAGCTCATGTCTTAAACATCCTCTGGTAGCTGTTATTTTAAAGCCTAAGGCTATTTTTGTAATAGTATATAGCTTAGCACCCTTTTTTTGGTGGGCTGCTTGCTTGGAATACATGGGGTTTTAAAAGAAGAGAAATGTACCTTGGTTTGAATATGTTTCCTGTCAGATAACTGCAACATATTAAAGTTAGGGTAGGGAAAAACAAGTTCTTGAGTCGTGGAAACATTGTCTTAATTATCTGAACAGGGTAACAAATGATGCCAGAGAAGATGAAATGGATGAAAATCTTGCTCAAGTGGGAAACATTCTTGGGAATTTGAAAAACATGGCTTTGGACATGGGCAACGAGATTGATGCCCAGAATAAACAAATAGACCGGATAAATGTAAAGGTAAGCGTCAAAGGTGTTCTCTGCCTTCAGCTCAAGAGGTTATTGTTGAGAAGTTACAAGGAGTAAGCTCACTGTCCTGTCTACCTCTATTTGCAGTAAGTATGGATTAAGACTGTACCATCCTCTAGGCTGTAGTGGTCTGAACAAGAGCTGTATCTTGGTGTTTGGGTATGTAGCTGAAAATTCAAATGCTTCAGAGTGTCAGGAAACTACAAAATGCATCACAGGTTTACTCTGAAGACAACTAAACTTGATTGACTCGAAAGGGCCAACATTTACTTGAGTTGTAACTGGGGAATTGTTGCTCACAGGGAATCTTGTAGGTGATAGGGAATCGGTGTTTTTAACAACAGCAAGATTCTTCTGGACTTCCTAAACAGTCACTATAATCATTCAGTGTAAATAAAACACAGGTAATTCATTGCCCTGATTCTCATGGGCAGGTTAATATTTGGGCTGGAGGACTTTGGAGTAATAGGCTCTGTGGGTGCACAAGGACATGGTCTACCCTCACTACATGAAGTTAGTCATAGCCAGTTACATCTCTTTCTTGTTTGCTTGCTTTTTGTTTTAAAGGTTAACTTCCCAAAACAGATTAATCATATATAAATATGACGGAGGGGAATCTCTTTGAGAGGGCAACTTATGAGGAAGTTAGTTGTATTTAGAAATCCCCATATTCTGAAATGAATAGAAATTATTTTACAGGCATTCTGGTTAAATAAGGGAATGAAAGCTTTAATGAATAGTGTCTATTAAAGATTGTTGAAAAGCAGAAGTGGACAAATAATTTAAGACTAAAGGAAAGTTAAAGATATCACTGAAATGGCCAGCAGGGTTAAAAGCAAGAGGAGTGGGATTTTCTCAGATGTACAGAACTGGTCTGACACGAATGCTGGTTGTACCTGTGTCTGCGTGATGTTATGGAGGACGCCTTAATTGTTTTTCACTCTTCCCTGAAACTGCAGACCTGAGGTGTTCATCAAGTGAAAACATTTTAAAGAACACAAGAAAAGTTAATTGTAGTGTAAAATGAGATGTGAAATTGTTAGCTTATAAAGTGGGCTGGAAATTGCCTGCAAAAATGAACCGCAAGTGGGTATGACTGTTTTTAGCAGTAGTGTTTCTGGTAGTTTCAAGCATCTGCTCTGGCTTGATGCTCTTTCATTTTAGTGGTCTGAATAAATCTTGCTGATCGAGTCAAGTCTAACTATTGAAATATGATGTAAACAAGTTGGAATTGCTGTACAAAACAGCTATGAAAATGAAAGTGCTATTCCTGGCTTTGAGGCTGGCAGCCTTTCCGAGGTCATTTAAATTGATCCTTTTCTGGTAATAACTGTTTTTAAAGCTAATGAACAGCGTGGAACCGAGAGGGTAAATCTCAAAGGTACAGTACCATATAAAAAACAAAGAGCAGTATTAAGCTTAACTTCAGAATACAGTTGATGCTTTTATTTTTATTAAAAAAATCCAGCTAACCTGGGAAATACATAGGCTTGCCTGGGTGACGTTTGGTAGCCTGCAGTGCCATGCAGACTCCTAACCTGAATAAACCCCTAATAGAAGCTTATGTTACTGTCTTTTTCTTAGAAGACCAGCTAGTAGCTAGATCAATGTGTTTACAAAGTGTTGTTAAAGAGTTAAATTCTCACTTTTCTATAGAAGATTCCTGCCCTTCCACAACCCTTGACTGTAAGGGCAGGAAGAAAAGATCAGGAGGGAGGGTCCTGAACTGGCAATGTCCTCTTTTCAGCCTGTTGTGGTATGAAGGTATGAAATGCCTAATAGATGGTGCAGGGTAGAGCTCCTCAGGAGTTCCACTGTCAAGGTCAGGGCAGAAGCTGGTTTTGTGCTTATTACCCCCCCTGCAGAGTGGATAATGAGGGAATTTTGAAGCTCCTTATCACACTCTTCAGTACAACTGTGTTTTGACACTTGTTTAGCCTTGATGCTGTAGCTGACTTTTGATGCTTTATAAAAGTAAAACAGCTATAAAGTGCTTTTCTTACCATTACCATACTATTACGACACTGGGACACTGGAAGGTGCCTGGATTAAAAGCAGAGATTTGCACTAAGCAAAAAAAATTCTGACTTTATGCCCATAGTTCACTCCCAGTTTTGATTATTACTTTTGGTGCATAACAGCAAAGCTGTTCTGTAGAGGTCCTCAAGATGTCTAAATGCTTGGAGAGAGGGAATTTTTATCCCCTTGTTCTGTTCATATTCTTCCTGACTTGCTGAAGCAAGCTGCTGTATGTCTTGAGTGTCAGCTAAAGAATAAAAACTGTCTCCTGATTCTGCCTCTGCCAAAACTGACAGCCTGTGCTGCCTTAAAAATAAATGTAAGTCACTTCTAGCTTATAAAAGTTGTTCCCCTTCTGTCTGCCACAGTGATAGTACCCTGCAACTCAGAAGTTCACGTCAGCTTGAATTTTTAAATCGTTTTACGTGAAGCCTGCGACTGACCTATGAATTTGTCTCTTTCAGGCTGATACAAACAGGGACCGCATTGAGCAAGCCAACATCAGAGCCAAGAAACTAATTGACAATTAAAGGCCGCTGTCATTGTTCAGTGACACTATCTCTCCAGCTGCAAGCCACGATATTCATGGATCTGTGAAACTTCTCCTATTCTGAAATAAGAGGGGCTGGGAAAAATGAAGCAGTACCCTTCCTATAGGGATTGATTTTCCTTTTTCTTTTAATTGCTTCATGTAAATGTGGCCTTGACCTCCAAGAAAGCAGCCAACATAACTTCCTCCTACTCATCTGCCTTCACTTTCTTTAAACTGCTCAGGGCTAAAAGTGTTATGGCTTTGAGATTCTTCTTGCATGTTTTATTCTCCCAGTCTCTTTTTTTTAATTCTCCCTTCCTTGCACTCAAAACACAGTCCTTTATTGAAGCTGAACAAGCAGGGTAACCTGAATTCACAGTTGTGGAAAGTTGGAGAGGGCACTTTGCACTGTTTGGAATACCTCATAAATCGAGTGTCTTCACTAAAATAGGGACTTGGTGAATATTGTCTGATTTGTATCTCTAGCAGGCTAACCATAGTATTATAATCCAAACCACATGATTGGTTTGTGGATTACAGAATTGAAGAGGCCCACTACTGAGTACTTGTGGGTTGAGGGCTTTAAAACACTTCTAAACACGTGAACTTTAATGTAAAGGTAACTGGAGGGGTTCCAGGTTTCCATTTCTTTACTGTAAATTGACATCGGTTTGGAGGCCATGGCTGGGAAATGATGCTGCATTGTTGTGGTAACTGTTGTGTGTGTATACACCTGATCTAAACCATGTGAGTGGAAGAAAATAAAACTATCTCCCTATAGTATTTATTTGATGAAAAATGTTATGCCCCTCATCTAAAACTTTTTTTAAGTGTTTGAATTACGCATCTTAACTGGAAGAAACTGAGTAGAAAAGCACGCAGCTTTCTTGCATCTCACATCAGATTGATTTTTGGTCCAGTTTTCACTGGAGTTCAGTTTATGCCTTTTTCCAGTGCAAAATGACTGAGACTTGGCACAGAGTTTTTTCCTCATCAGTGACTTTGGGGGAGCTTCTTAAACCTACTGAAAACAAAGAAAACTACGAGACTGCTTTGTCAGGAGCCTGGAGGAGGCAGTCCCTATTTCTAAGTAGGTTCCTGACTGGTTTATTATTGCAGACTTTGGGACTGGCAGTTGCAAATATTACATGTCCAAGTTGCCTGCAACTAAAATGTTCCTGTTCTGTTGCAGAGTAGAGGAGTTTCTGACCGGGTGAGGTAAAGCTCCCTTCCTATGAAGGGTAAAAACACCTTGGTTTTACTGTAATAGAATCAGATTTCTCCTCAGTCTTTTGTTTTTGGTGTGGGCAAGTAAGGTGCAAGTGAGCTGTCACTTTAACTCGACTGAGCAAGGTATTGTACCTGTTCTGAAGGTGGAAATGATGCTCTGGAGCAACCTTTAATACTTAGTATTGGATTGCAAAGATCTTTAAACCAAACTGATTGGAGAAGTGATTACAACTAATAGCATTAGGGGGTGGGTTTTCTGGGAGGACAGTCCACAGGTATCCTGTAGCCATTAATAATAAATCCCAGGGCTAGAGAGATGACACTAATCTGCAGAAACGTAAGGAAAACAGTGTTAAGTGGTTTGGTTTGGTTTTCTTTTCACTAGAAATACAGTCAGTATTACTGGTATATTTCTCAGTTCACCCCTAGGACAACCTGGTATTTTAAAAAGGGGGGGAATAAATTAAGAAAGCCCAACACCAAAAAACACAACCCCCATCATCCCCCTCCCCCCTAAAAAAAAAAACCAAACTGACCAAAGGCTGGAGCTGCTGCACGTAACAAACAGGCCAGTGGTCGACTGTCTTCTGTTTGAATGAGGTGAAGTCATTTTGAGGAGCCTGGATAATTCAGTAGTGTGTGTTGGCTTCTGTCTGGCTCTCTGTAATTGCTGGAAAGCTAATGAATTTTGAAAGGTCATTGTCTACCCCATTAGTGATGAAAATTATTTGCCTAAATCCACAAGTAGCAAAGAAGTACTTTTAAGAAAATTGCACAGTACATTTCTAACAACCGCTTGCATGGGAAGGCACAGGGGATTTGTATGCTTCCCCATCTCTTTTTTTTTCCCCTTCTTACAAACTTCAGGTTAACTAAAGGGATATTTGCTGCTGGCTGTGAAAGCAGTGCATACATTATTTAATTATGATTGTCTCCTGAAACAGAAGACTAAAGCAGTGGTGACCTTACTCTGCTTACAACAGTGCAAACCTGCTCTGTAGCATCTGAACCTTCCAAACATGGAATGTCTTTCCATGCTCTCGCCTTCCCTGAGCTCTGATAACAAACTTGCACGTTGGCTGAGAGAATGCTGTGATCGGTGTACCGGCATTGTAATACTGCAATGAATACCACACAAGGAAATCATTTCTGAGACTAAGCTTGAGTATTAGTGGAATATCAGTACTATTTTCTGATGCAGCAAGAGCCAAATCCACGAGGGGGTTGGTGCCTTTATGTTAGCGAACACCACAGTCTGCTTCTTGGATCGTTTTACTGTTGTCTATAGAATAGATGCTTAATTTCCATATCTATGGGATGGAATCAGCACTTGTACGTCTTTGTATTTCTGAATGCTATTAAGAATGAAGGTTTACAGTTTCTGCTTTTGATTGTTAAACTATATATTGTGCACAAAAATACATACTTTTATAACTGAATGTGTTCTAGAAGTATTTTCTCTTAATGTCTTTTAGTTTCCTGTCCTTGAAAAACTTGGCAGAACTAGTTGCTACTATGCAGCTAGGAAGTTTCCCTTCTATTTTTATTTCACAGAAATCCTAATGCTAACAAAGGAACGGGTGTGGTTGGAGACAGAAATACTCTCATCTTTTTTTAACACTCTTGTTTTCATCCCTGCATCATTAACGTCGCCTAACTTCCAACTATTAAATGCATCCGTCTCTTCTTTGAAAGATATGGGATTGTACTTCAGGATGATCAAGGAACTAAGTAAAGTAACTTCAACTTTCCAGCCATGCAATGGTAACATATGCTTAGTAACTACCTAGTCCAGTAGGTGAAATCGAGGGTTTTAACCTCCTGCCAATGCAATTTCACGTGCAAGGCGCTTTAAATTGTATTTTCTCTGGTGTTAGAGCCTCAGATTCCCAGAATGTTCTTAGTGGGGAGAAGGCTGGGAGGGTGGAAATGCAGACTTGTGTTGACTTGCAGCAGTTCTGAGCTGCAAGAGAGAATGGTGTATCTGGGAATGGCTTGGAAGAAGCAGTTCTCATACACTAAGTTTTTACCAATAACTAGAGGTGGGGGGAATCCAGACAGCCTGGATAGGTAGCTACTCTGAGCATGCAGCAGATGTCCCATGGGAGTGTGATAACTGGTAAAATCAAGCTAGCCTACTCCTTGATGAAAGATGAATGAAGCCTCTTACCACAGGGGTAGCTGTAGTATGAACTGCAGCACATGCTACTTGTGCAGCAACTTGCAGAGCTTTCCACTGTGAAGGCTATACAGTAAACAGTTTGCTGTTTACACAATGCAGTGACTTCCAGCTGCTAACTCGCCTTTGCTGCACTTGAAACAGCAATGCATTATCTAAACGTTGATTGAATAAATAGATGGAAAGTGAATCTTACAAATTGGAGAGCAAGTGAAATAGGCATGACACAAAGTATGTGAATGGTCCGTATTGCAGGTAAAATTATGCATGGAAATTCAGTTGTTTTATAGTGTCACTTACAGACTGCGTGTGATAAGGGGAAACAGAGAAACAGATGACACAAAACTACTGATAAATTACATAGTGCTGATGTGTACAGAACAGGGTTCTAAGTGACTTAGTAACAGTTATTGCTAGGGCCTAAAACCATGTAAGAGTGTCAGACAGCTGGTTTTCTTTTTTCCTCCTTGAAACAGAAGTACTCAGTTCTGAAACAAATTTGGCTACTCTTCTATTTCTGACTGTACAGAGCCTTGCATTATGGTAACATAGATTGTGCTCTTAAAGCACTGTTTTGCAAAATGAAGTAGCTTGTGCCCTTAAAGCACTGTTTTGCAAAATGAAGTAGCCTGTTAAACACTGTCTGCTGTCAGCTACTTACAGAAAGACAGGTTTCCATAAAGTAACACATGGAATGGGGGTTCTTAAATAAAACTGGTTTCCTCTTTAATGATGGATGTTCTGCATCCTTTGAATAAGGAGCTGATGTTCGTTGAAACACTCTGCTAATAGGTATTGCTATGTAAGAATTGACATAAGACATCAACAGGATCAAGGAACTTATAAAAGAACCACTGATTACTAATCTTAATTATAGTTACTATGTTGAGGAAGAAGATTGGCACAGAAGTCTCTTCATTTTTCTTAACTGCGATGGCATAAGACATTGAATATGCCTGATGATTAATTACACCAGCAACTTTAAGGAGTTTGCTGTCTCAATACCTCATTTGTCTCATGTAGCAAAGCTTAAGTACAGACCAGTAGTTAAATGTACGATTACCTGCAAGAGTCTCATTAGGAACAGATGCATCCATGCTTACCTTGCAAGGAAATATACTTGGTACAGCTCCTACCTCACCAACTGAATTGCTACTGAAGTGTCATCATCCCTCCGCATTCTCAGAGCAGTTGAAATACAACTTGTCACCAACAACTGATGGAACCAAGTACTTAAGTGATAGCTTGCAAGGAAGTGTACTTGGTACAGCTCCTACCTCACATTTTTGAGCATGCAGTACATATCGACTGAATTGCTACTGAAGTGTCATCGTACTCAAACCCTCTGCATTCTCAGAGCAGTTGAAATACAACTTGTCACCAACAACTGATGGAACCAAGTACTTAAGTGATAGCTTTCAGTGGTAGCTTTGCACTACCTGAAGTGACAACAGCAGCAGTTACACCAAATAAACTTGATTTTTTCAAAGTTATTTACTAAAATAAACAATTACATGTTCCTTTTCAGTGCAAGTTACATAATTGCATACATTTTTAGCTCTTTCTGGGTGCTTTTGGTAATAAGGCAGCAGCAGTAGGCTGACAACTAAAACTTTCAGCTTTGCTCTGTACACAAGGAGTCAGTGAAAGGACATTTTCCACCAACATACATTTTTACTAAATACATTGAAGATGAACCTTAATTGATGCAGCTCAAGCAGAAGTGGACTGTAGTGCAATTCTTGCTTATGAGGGAAGAAAAATGCCTGGACAGTAAAATACAAAGGATGCTCAAAGCTTGATTTGTTTACTGGAAGCACTTAATCAAACAATAACTTAGCCACAACTATTTGTGCTTCATAAAAAACTTAAACAGGTTATAAACTGAAACCTCATGTGTAAAAATTCTTCTCAGAGTAGTGCTTACTGCAAGACATGCTATGTTTCAGCTCTGCTTTGGTGGTAGAACTTCCTGTGCTATCATGGAAAAGCGTTTCCAGGAGAAAGAATCCTCTTACAAATCAACAACCAGCTTCCTGACAAAAGGGAACTGGCAATTTTGAAACACTCATTTCCTTTCTCTGTTAAAGAACTAGCCCTGACAAAGAAGGACGTGTGTTGTGTTAAAAGCTATAGTGGCACAAAAATCAAAACTGGCCCCTGGGCAGGTTCAGTTCAATACCCATGTTCTCTAGTTTGAGTTTATTCAATGTGGCCTTGACAGGCCATGTCAGGCTACTAGAGGAGGAATACACTGATCATCATCTTCACCTGTCTTGGTGAAGCAGGTGCTTCAGTCACTAACTCTTCTTACTGGGAATACACAGGGTCAGAATAATGATCATGCAAACTTCTTCTTTGTAGCTGTAAATCGTTCCATGTACTACAAAGAAAAGAAAAAACAACTAAGATTCAGAAATTAATACAAGATTCCCTGCAGAAAGCAGCTAAGCTTCTGCTCTCAGACTCAAAAGCACTCTGCATCTAAAGCATATTTGCATTTTCCAATCATTAGAGCTTTAATTTAAAACCAAAACAACACTGAAAAACTTTCTGCCATTTGTCATTTGCTGTAATTCAGATAAACATTTTAGAAAGTAAGTCCTCATAACGCTGAAGAGTCATCTCAAGTGTTAAGGATGAACTAATATTAAACAGTTAAGAATGCTGCATAAAAAAACTCCTTCACACACCTGACATTATTTACCCTTCAAAAGATGCTGATCTGCAATCCCATGAGAAAGTTAAGTCTTTGAAGAACTCTTTGAATTCTTTTCAGAAGTTAGTTACAAATCCAGTACCAGGAACAATACCAGTATACTGTGCTTTTATGCTTAGTATTGGGAGAAGGTACTGAGTAAGGACTTCACCAGAAGCTTCATTATGAAAAAGACCAAAAAAAAAATAGACACAAACCTTGTCATAACCTTCCAGCTCTCTGAGTTTCTTGATTTCAAAGAGGTTACCTTCAACTGCAAGCAGTGAGATCTGGGAATCACTGAGGATACTTTGAGGAAGCATGCTGAGTTCTAGACAGTTTTCTTCTAAACGCAAGACTTTGAGGCGTGGACAGTGGGAGATCTGCACCGAGATCTGGGAAATCTGGTAGAAATAAAAAAACCCAACAACTCAACCAAACATATAGAAATGGGTTTAAAATGCTAGTGATCAACAATTAAAGTGATTTGTGTTTCAGCCTAATATGAAACAATTATGTTGTAGATATAAACTACATTAGCAGTAACCACTTAACTACAATGTACGAGCAACAATAATAATGGTAAAAAAAATCCAAGTAACTTCTTTTTCTTCCACGATGCCAGGCAACCTACACATCTCGTTATCAGATTCCTACTCAGGAACTGTTCAAATAACTTTCTGCATGACTAAGTTCAGGATTTGTTAGTCAAACCAGGCAGTTGGCTGTATCAGCACACAAATTCTAGTTATGATCCTTCATTTCTGCTGTGTACAGGAGATGTCTTTTAGCTCTAAAGTTTTGATAGTCTCAGCTTACTTGCTGGGGATGTACTAAGTCCAAGATAAACCACATCCTAAATCTACACGCCCGTAATATCTCAGTTACCAGACCTGATTCTGATTCAAATTGAGCTCAATAGCCTGCAATTCTCCCACAGTGTCAGGTACATTTTGGATCTGGTTTTTGGAAAGATCTACCACATCCAAGTGGCGAAGACCACAGAGTTGTGTAGGCACAGTCCGAAGCTGGTTTCCAGAAAGGCTCAGAGTTTTGAGAGCCGAAAGTTGTCCAAACGAAGCCGGCAGCTGCCTCAAGTGATTGCCATTCAAGTGTAGCGTTTCCAGTTTTTTCAGTTTACACAACTCCTCAGGTAAAGCAGCTAGAGATAAATAACAGAACAAAGAGATTACCTAAACAAAGAGCAGTAAACATTCTTACCCGTTTAACTCAAATAAGCTTCTGCATGGAAAACAGTGCTATATTACATTAATTTCTCACAGGATTCCTCCCCATTTTCCAATGAAAGCACAGATCCCTGCACAGAAACTTAAGCCCACTGACAACACATGCCTTTTAGCCATCTTCCACAAATATCTTCAAAATAATCTGCAGACAAGGCAGACCTTCAAATCACAGGCTGAAAACACTACTCCGAGAGGATGTCAGCCTGTCAGTTATTATGTTCACTTTGCCAACATATTCTACGGTATCTGAAGCACCACACAACTCGCAGCTTCAGGTCTGCTGCAGCCCTTTAAAGGTTTTACTCAACTCACTTAAACGTTCTCAGATAATTCGTACCATACCAGCATAAGCCTCACCAGGTGAGCTCCCCTAGCATTCACTGCACGTGTATAACTTGTAGCACTCCCGAGTTGCACCATAGAGTCAAAGAGGTTTGTAGATCACACTTGTTTTTCAAAAGGGCAGATAATACACATTTAACACATTAAAAAGTTAGTTTCTTCACCTCATCCTAATTTTTTCATAAAGTTGGACATTTATCCAACAGAAACAGAAACCACCATTGCATGGCCAGCAACATTTTCAACAGATGCTCTTTGGTACCTGTTCTCTATGCCAGTACTAAACCATCTGACACTGTCAAACCTTCCGATCAGTCAAGTCACGGCACAGAAGTGTTATGGTTTTAAGTAGGTACAAATCATTGTCAAACTGATAATCACAGAATCACAGAATCTCAGGAGTTGGAAGGGACCTCGAAAGATCATCCAGTTCAACCCCTGCCAGAGCAGGATCACCAGACCAGGTCACACAGGAACACGTCCAGGTTGGCCTTGAATGTGTCCAGAGAAGGAGACTCCACAACCTCTCTGGGCAGCCTGGGCCATGCTCTGGCACCCTCACAGTAAAGAAGTTTTTCCTCACGTTCAGCTTGAACCTCCTGTGCTCCAGCTTGGGACCACTGCCCCTTGTCCGGGCATTGGACATCCCAGAGCAGAGCCTGGCTCCTTCCTCCTCACACTTGCCCTTTACAAATTTATAAATTTCAGTTTAGGCGACTAAACTCCCATTTACATCCTGTGAGAATCAAATCATTAAATTCAGTTTCTGATCAGAGAAGGCAGGTTATTATTTTAAAAGTCTGTGGATGTATTGAGAATCAAATCATTAAATTCAGTTTGTGATCAGAGAAAGCAGGTTATTATTTTAAAAGTCTGTGGATGTACTAATAGCAGGCATACTCAGTTTGTTGTTGTTCAGAACAAGGCTCTTCAAAAAGGAAAATTTTCCAATGAGTGGCGGCAAGAGCTCGATTTTGTTGTTCGACAAGTCTATTGTCCTTAAGTTGCTTGTGAGCTTCTGCAGATCTTCAGGAAACTGAGGGGAGAAAAATACGCAGCATTTAAACAGCTGATACAACTCTGAATGTTCGAGTTACAGAGCATAACATTTTAATTGACATTTGCATTGCTATTACATACTGTCACACACATCACAACGTCCAGTCACCACAGCGCGCAACTAAGTTGGCAAATTTGTTTAATGTGTATTTTAAAAGAAGAATTTTTTCATCTGACGAAGGGAAAAGGGATTTCAAGGAGACAGACTAACATCCAGAAATAGTAGATTTTAATCAAAGAATTTAGATTAAAAAGGGAGAAGACAGAATACTATAACAGAAGCTCATTTATGTTTCAGTCCTCTTGTGTGTTTCTCTTAACCATGCCTGTCACTCAGAGATATTCTGCAGCTGGTTAAAAACTTAATTTTAGCAGAGTAGGATTGGGAAACTCTTCTCTTGCTTTCCTTTTTAAATAATTACAGAAACCATTTTCCTTACTTTGATTTACATCCTGTACCACTTTAATCTGCACTTGCCACTGAGCTGAAAAAAAACCAGTCACCACCAGCAAGTCAACAGGCCAGTGGTTTTGACTGCCCTTTGGTTTGGCAAAGGAAAAGGGAAGACAGAAGGTAGGAAAGTGGAAGAAGATACCTTAGAAAAGTCTTGGAAAATGACTGCAATATAGTTATTTTGGCTATCCCGTGAACTGTCACTCGACTTATGGTTCCAGGACATTGTATTATTCTGCATTTGAGTCAGAGTCAAGACAATCTCCGACACAATAAATTTCAAGATGCCTGAAGCCCAGTTAATAGCCTGTACAGACTGTTCATATGACTACAACTAAATACAGCTTATCTACACATGAAAAAGTGTGGGGTATCTTCCTAGGTAAAAATACGGTTATAAAATATACATGTTTTCCCTGAAGTTTACAGGCATTTTTTAAAACAGCACAACATCATAACTAGTACTTATTGAATGTATATGCAATCTAAAGCGTAAGCTCATAAGCGTACAAGTGCCCTGGCAAATAAATCCTCAACCTGACAACAGTGCAAGCAATAATCTGCTCTGCAAAAAAAAGAAAAAAAACCATCCTGAAATATTATTATCTATCCCTACTTATGAGAAATGCAGGTATGCAGTGCATTATGGCAATGAGGCAGGAATTTCTCTCCAGAAGCGTCAGTCACACACACACAGCCACATTTCCCCTACAGTTCCATTACCTCTGTAAGTCCCTTTCCTGTTAGCTGAAACACACCAGTTTTCTGTGCTGTCTCCAGGTGGGCTTTCAATGCACTGTTTCCCATCCTAACAGTTCTCTGTCAGCTGCACAGAGTTGGAGCGATAGTCTCAGCCAGTTTTTCTCTGTTGTTCTGCGGCAGAAAGCTGCAACCCAAGGTTTCTGCGATAATGCAAACGTAACCAGTCATTTTATGCGTATTGTCTTCAACATCACAAGCATTTCAAGGTACTGAATCATTTCACTGCTGCGTTCTCATCTCCCTCACTCACAACTAGAGCTTAAAAGATTTACCTAGCTCAAGGTGCCTTCATCATAGCAGTCTGAGTACTGAAACGATGCAACAAATATAGTTAAAGCTAAGTGGAAAAACTGCACACTCCCCACATTTCACCTACTTCAGGGCCCAGTAGCGTAACAAGATCCTCCACGGAGACAAGCCGTGATTTTAGTGGCACCTACCAGCACTGACCTGCTGTCAATACCACAGTCTTATTTGCTGTTTTTAGAAATATTTGTTTCATTTAGAGACTTGACTCCTTTGCTGAGACTCTCGACGCAGACACACGACAAGCACTTCCCCTAACTCCTACAGGGTTTAATCCCCAAGACCAACGACGCCGGGTCACAGGCCGAAGGATTAATGTCAGGTTTGGAGCTGGGAGGTGGCGAATAAAGACTTAATACAGCACGTAAACAGCCGGGACGAGAACCGCAAGAGAAGCACTCCCTTCCGCGACGGTGAGAGGCGGCTCAGTAGGACCCTCAGCAAGGGGCGAAGCCAGCAATGACCCAATGGAGACCCCGGTATCTCCGCCTCAACCGCAACTCCACCCTCACCCTGGATACCCGGCCACGCCACCGCAGGTAGCTCCTGCAGGGGCAGCCAAGCCAAGCCAAGCTAGGCCCGGCCAGGCCCGGCTCAACTCACCTGTACAGGCACCACACACCAACACTCCGCCGCGGCGGACCCCCCTCCCCTCACTCCGTCCCCCGCGCTCCGCCTCCGCCCTTCGAGAACCGACGCCTCAAAAGCACTCACCGGCTCCCCCGGAACCGGACGCGTGTCACTCGCCCCTTTTCTATCACACCCAACATGGCGGC